ATAATGGTGCTAAAATTAGGCACAAACCGCCGGTAGAAAGAAGCCAACCTATGAAAACTCCGAACTTCCGTTATGGAACTAGGTTGTGGCCAACTCCTAATCGCTTCAACCTTAGATTGATCCACTTGTATTCCCTCACCCAAAACTACATATCCCAAAAACACAACTTTCTTCATAAACAACTCACATTTTTTAAGCTTGGCATAAAGCTTTTATCTCCTCAACACTTCAAGAACTTGCCTAAGATGATTAATGTGGTTCTCCTCACAACTACTATAAACAAGTGTATCATCAAAATACTGAACCACAAATTTGCCTATGAAAGGTTTTAATACCTCATTCATCAATCTCATAAAGGTGCTTGGTGCATTTGGTAGGCCGAAAGGCATCACCATCCACTCATACAAGCCTCCATTTGTTTTGAAAGTCGTCTTTCATTCATCCCTTTCTTTCATTCTAATCTGGTGGTACCCGCTTCTTAAGTCGATCTTGGAGAAAATGGTTGCACCATGGAGCTCATCCAACCGCGGTATAAGGTACCTATACTTAATGGTTATACAATTGATGACCCGACTATCTATACACATGCGAAAAGTACCATCTTTCTTGGGTACAAGTAAGCTGGAACTGAGCAAGGACTCATACTTTCTTTCACAAATCCCATGGAAATCAGCTCATCAATTTGCCTTTGTAGCTCTCTTGCCTCTTAGGGGTTGCACCTATAAGCTAGCCTATTAAGAAGGGAGGCACCAGGCACTAAATCAATCTAGTGCTCTATACCTCGAAGTGGTGGCAATCCCTTGGGTAACTCATTGGGAAACACATCAGCATACTCACTCAAGAGGAGTTGGATTTTTGGGTCAAAGTAGAACTCCTTAATTTCCTTGTTCTCTTCAACAATAAGGAGTGCAATGACGGTTTTTTGTTTCTAGAAGGATTTTTCTAGTTGGATACTATTTAAGAGAAGGCTTTTATGTGGTGGTTCTTTGGGTGGTGTTTGGGGAAGTGTTTGAGTAGGAGGCAATGGTGCTAGGGTTATGGTTTTCTTATTGAACTTGAATGAGTAAGTGTTTTTCCTACCATTATGATTCACCTCTCGATCAAGCTGCCATGGTCTACGAAGTAGGAGATTACATGCGTCCATGGGAATAACATCACAAGTCACCTCATCCGAATACCTCTTACCAATGGAAAATGGCACAACCACTTGTTTAGTAACCTAAGTCGTGTCACTATTACTTAGCCATTGCAAATTGTAAGGATGTGCATGACTAAGTGTAGGGAGTCCTAACTTGTCAACAAGTGTGGTAGAGGCTACATTAGTACAACTTCCGCTGTCCATAATTATCGAACATACTTTCCCTTTCACGGTGCACCTAGTGTGAAACAAATTCTCCCTTTGATTATCTTAGGAATTAACTTGAGTTTGCATCAACCTCTTAAGCATCAACAAATCTCCCTGATCAGCCTCCTCAATGACCTCTTTTTCACTCTCACTTTCTTAGTTTTCTTCACTGGATTCTTCTTGGAAAGCTTCATCAATTGCTTCAATCTCCCTAAAAGTTATAACTCTTCGATTTGGGCCATTTACTTGAAAGTGCCCATAGCCTTGACACTTGAAACACTTTTTATTTTTCAAATCAACCCGTGGAGCTTCATTCTTTACAAAATTCGTCTTCTCTTTTGGTGCTTCATTCACCTTGTTTTTATCATAACCCGTTGGTGCAACATAAGGCTTGGTATAGGAAGATGATCCCTTTTGGTAAGAACTCTCCTTAAAGAACTTCTTAGGGGCTGCCGATTTCATACTCTTCAATTGTTTTTCCACCTTTGTAGCCAACGTATACACATCTTCAAGGGAATGGTAGGTTTGCAACTTAATCTTGTGTGCTATATCCCTAGTCAAGCCGCCAAGGAATCTAGCAAAGGTATGCTCCTTCTCTTTTGGGATATCACTCCTTAACATTAACCCTTTAAATTCTCAAATGTACTCTTCAACCTTCCTATCTCCTTGCTTCAGATTTTGTAACTTAAGATAAAGGTCTTGTTTATAGTGATCGGGCAAGAACCTCTTTTGAAGCACTCTCTTCAACTTATCCCAAGAATGAATTGGAACCTTTCCTTCCCTTGCTCTCTTCTTTTTTGTGTTTCCCCACCATAAAGAAGCATAATCTTTGAATTTCAGTATGGCTACCTTACATTTCTTCTCTTCATTGAAGCCCTTAAACTCAAATACTCTCTCAATTTCATGCAACCAATCAATGAAATCATTAGAATCTGAACTCCCATTGAATTCAGGCAAATCCACTTTTAAACCCCTATCATCATCAAAATTCCTCCTCCCTCTTCCATGCATTTTAGACTCACTAGAGGAATCAAGGCTACCTTCAAATTCTTCTTCATAGGGTGATGTCCCAATGATGGTTCTTTGGTGATAGTGTGAGCGTCTTCCTTGGTTCAATTGATAATCTTGTTTTTGGGGGTTTTTGTTTGGTTGACAGTTTCATGAGGTGGGGGTGTGTAGTGTGCGGATTGGTTGTTTATGGGCTGTAATTAGGTTAATTTGGCTATATCATTTGACATGTTAGCCATTATCTTCACCACGATGTCCATGTTTTGCTTAATGTCATCAACTTCCCCTTGTATCCTCATGTTGGCAAGTTCCCATGGTGGGGGAGGTAAAGAAGAGCTACTTCTATTTTCCATGTGGGTATAGGATGGGTTAGGCTAGTGTTTATGGTTAAATAAGGGTGAAAAAAAGTGTTTTGGGGCAAAAAGGGCAAAATCATAATTTTTGTGAATAGTGCCCTGGTCGGAACAGTACTTATTGGACGGTGGTGGAGCTTTTTTGGTGATGGATAATGTTGGTGGAAGCAATCGGGTTGGGTTAAGTATTTGGGCTTAAGTGTTTAATGGATTTTGTGTGTAATTTGGGCCAAAGGTATTTTGGTCAATGCATGTGGTATAAGTGATGGTAAAAAGGTCAAGGGTATTTAGGTAATAGTGGTGTAGCCTAATTCTATTTGTGGGAAAAGTACTTTTGCTAAAAGGGGATGGGAATGAATTAGTGGAAGTAATCCTATTTTTAGTAAAAGTGATTTTACTAAAAATAGTGGAACAAGGAAGTTTGTAGTGGATGTGTTTCTCTTTTTAGTAAAAATGCTTTTACTAAAATTGGTGGAACAAGGATAGCTTTGGGAAAAAGGTTATTTCCAAAAATGGGATGGAGTGTTCAGGGTTTTGTGATGGCTAAAAATGGCATGGAGTGTTTAAATTAAATAAACAAAAATGGGATGGAGTGTTTAGGGTTTTGTGATGGCAAAAAATGGCATGGGCCGTGGAGTGTTTATATTAAATGGACAAAAATGGGATGGAGTGTTTAGGGTTTTGTGATGACTAAAAATGGCATGGAGTGTTTGAATTAAACAAATAAAAGAGGTATGAAGTGTTTAGGTTAGTGTGATGATGGGTTGAATTGTTCAATGGGTAAAAGAGCGGTAGGTGTTAGGTGAGTTTCAAATGGGTTCAAAGAAAGATTGGGTGGTTTAAATAAGTAAGAATCCGGCCAAATGGTGAAGGGAATTCCGGCTAAACTTCTTCTTCCCAACAATAACACAAAACAACTTAAAAAATTCCTCAAGAACAAATCAACTTATCACCCGAAAATCGGCTAACGCCAAAAACTTCTAAACTCCACAAAACTCAACAAACAATCATCATACACATACACAACCTAAAGCTCTGATACCAAATGATCCAAAACCGCCATGAAAACTCAACAAAACATTACAACATCACATACATGAATCGGCCAAAGCAAGACTCTTCACAACCTTCATTTACGTTTCAACTATCTTAGGGTATTTCAACTCCAAAATCATGCAAACACAAAACACATACAACCAGATTTGAACAACACTAACTACCACTAGAAATTCGGCCAAGGTAAGATGAGACACAAGGGCACTTACTTGAATAAAAAAAAAAAAAGGGATACAGACAAGAAGAATCTTCAAGCATAAAGGATCTCTTCATCAACTTGAAGTTGAATCACCAATAAATCCCTTGTCAAGACTTGGATAAAGATTTCAATGTAAAAGGAAAATCATTCCTCTCAAGTGTTTAATTTCTATTTCATTGTTCAACCTTACAAAATGAGAGAGGGTTTGCTTTTATAGTAGCATTACAAGGGTTATTAACTACTTAAGTAAAATAAATATACCACCTAGGATAATTAACTAAACATGACAATACTTAATTAAATCCTACTAATAAAAGTGCATGAGTTTGGGCTTTGGAATTCATTGAAGGGGCCCCAAAAAGAAATAGCGTGGGAATGCTCTTTGGGCTTGGATAATAGGCTGTTTTGGACCTTTTGAATGCTTAGGCCTTTTCTTTGTTGGACTTGGACTTCACTTGAAGAATTTGTACTTGAATGGGCTTGGGCTGAAATGTCTCCTTTATGCACATGGGCTGAGTTGTTTCCTTGCATAATTTGGGCTAATGTCTCTCCTTGAGCTTGGGCTGAATCTGACTTGCCTTCTTGGACAACTTGGGCTAGCTTTCTTTCTTGGGCAACTTGGGCTAACTTTCTTTCTTGGGCTTGGACTGAATTACAATTCTTGCAATCCACATGTCATGTACCAAGTGTTTTAGGATTTGGATTGGCTATTTTTTATTTAACCGAATTTGCAAGTGTGTTATAACTTGAAATTTTATTTCCACTCAAATTCACAAGTGTTTTAGGACTTGTAAACGAGTTAGAACAATAGCTCTATAACACCAAACACAATTACAAAACTGTGGCCTTACGCCCCTGCAGTAATGGCACATCAACGTACTCACCTAAATTACAGAGATTCTAAATATATTCTTGTTTAATAATGTCAAATTCTGGTTAACTATACCTGTTTACTCCATGTTTCAACACTGAATGCTTCAATTCTTGCATCTGAATTTTCCAGGCCATTCAATACTTAAACACTTACATTATTCATCAATCACTTAGCAGGAAGGACATAGGCGTAGACAGCGAAAAAGGCCTGAACCATGGTGAGTAAAAGGAGTATGAGAGCCGCCACGGCTGACATGAATGACCACGGAGTGTCAAAATAAGTATGCTTAAAACTTGCCCATCTAACATACCAATTGTTCCTGTAATGCTCATTCACACCTTCAAACAATTCTGACAAATAGTTTCTCTGTATGTCAAATGCCACATCCTTCCCAACATTGTTGAAGAATCGAGCCACTTCCTCATCGGTCCCGAAGTAGTTTTCGATGATCTTCTGATCGCTTAAGAACCCTGCGTCGCCCGGCGTGTTAATGAGACAACCCATCAAGGTTGCATAAGTTGTGATGTGCTTTGTGCAGTAACGGTAACACTGTTCATAAGCAACGCAATTGAGGAAAACAGAGCTGGTAAAATCATCTATTGTTAATGGTGGGATTTCAAGGACTCCATTTCTGAAGTCAATGTCCAAGAAGCTGCTGGTCTTCCTTGGCTTGAACTCAATGCCAGCTAGATGCAGCTTTTTGGCGGACGGGATCAAATGAAGGAATGGACTAATCTCTCTTGTTGTTTCTTGGGACGAATTTATAAAGCTCAAACGAAATAAATCTAACAAATGTTTTGCTGTAAGATTGTAGTATTGCTCCAGGACTTCAACATCTCTTTGCACCATATAATTGAAAAATTCCAGGGCGAGTTTGGCCAAAGTCGGAGGATTGTTTCTTCTTGAACCCAATACAGTAAGCTCGAACAAAGCCTCAAGAACAAAATACGGAATTTGGTTCTCAAGCCTGAGAAAATCCCGAGTGAAAAAAGGAAAAACCCATGACATAGTAAAAATTGGGTCGTCAAGATTACCTTGTACTAACTTTCCGACTATGGAGAAAAGCTCAATAACAAAACATCCGTCAAGAACCATCATTTCAATGAGTTCACAGCTCTTGATTTGAATAGTCTCCGAATAACACTCTCTTATCTGTTGCTCCATTGATTTTATGACCGCATACAAGTCCTTGAATTCAACTCCATGGTTTCTTGTTCGGTTGAGCATAGCGCCAAGATATTTCCATTTGTGTTCTTGGATCATCTTCAGGTGTTCTTTGCCGTGGTGATAAGGGCCCATGGAGACTATACGGGGTTGATAAGCCTTCTTGTTGATTTCAACCAAGCTCTGAGGGACTCTGAAGATGCAACAAGATTTCTTACCAGCTAATTTGCTTAATAACCGAGGACTTTGATTGACTTTTACTTCCATTAACGCCAACCATTCTCTCTCGTCTTCCATGACTCTGATATCTTGATAAGATTGTCCTCCATTTTCACCATCTTCATTGCGGAGGACATTCATTTCTGTTTCCATTTGTGTTTCTTTTAACAATCTAAAAAATCTGTTGAGGTTTGTGTTTTCAACACATTGCCAAGAAAATTAGTATATTATTCCTAAAATTGGATCTTGTGTTGACTGACTTTCACAGTAACAGTTGATCGGGAAGAATTATACATTTCCCTTCTTTTATATTGCGTACGTTTGCTTTTGAAAGAGATGGAAGATGTCAATTCTTACGCTCAAATTAAAGTGAAAGACCGTTAGTTGGCTCCCATATGTGCCAAATAATTGTCCTTTTTTTTATTGGCTACCGTGTCATACAGCAGATTCAATTAATGTTTTTTTAATGCATCACCATCTACAGTGGATAAGACTCATTCAAAGGATATATTAAAATGCCACTATTATCCAAAAGCCGAATGGCCGACTTGGTAAGACAATTTTAATCATGTATGGATTGGGATTACTAGGAAATTGCTCTAAGATCCACCCAATTACTTTGATTTCATAATGTGACATATATTTTCCTACAATATCAATCTATTTAACTCCTTAGTAATTGTAGATGAATATTGTCCGTCTCTTCCATTCTTTGGCCAACTTTTGATGCTCACAAAAGTAATTTAATAATTGGAGGAAATTGCAAAAACCTTGATTGATAAACCCTTCATTAAAAGGCCGCCAATCATTTTATGATATTTAAAAGAGTAATAATAAACCCACAAATTTTTTATACAAACTTTATCTAACAAACTTATGTGGCAAAACATGATTAGGTGAATTTAAATTTAAAATAAACTTTCACTCAATCATCTTTTACCAGGTAAGTTTATATAAAAAGTTTGTGGGTATAGTATTATTGTATTAGAAAGATCTCATACATGAAACTACATATGTGAGAATTTGAAGTCATTTCTTATTCTTAACCTAAGTGGTGGGGAGTCTTTTGATATGTTGATTGGTGGTGGACAGTTGACATCTTGGTAGAGATTTTTACTACCTATCACTCCTATATTATATCGAATAATGTTATATTTACAATTGAATCATACAACCAAACAAAAAATACATGATAAAATAATTATTTTACATCAACTTTGTAAAATTTTTATATAATTATATGACTCAATTGTAAGTATATTATTATTTTATTATATCTTATAGGATTAGATGCTCCCTTTTCACCTGTAGCAATTGTTCTTTAAAATGTTGTCCACAAGCAGTCGTCTTTAGTTTCTTTAGGATTGCTAAAAGGATCTTACACGCCATGTACATTCCATGTGTGTTAAAAGTGTTATAACATAATCTTGCTGACAATATCACACATCACATGTGCTAGTTACCCAGCCTAGTGTTCCTAATTAAGACACTATCCAACACAACTACATTATTTTGAACACTTTACAGGTTTAAGGTGTTCTCTTATCCATCACACAGAAAATAACACAATCAGATATTTTTTAAAATCAATTTTATGATATAATATAAACTATGGGGTCGAAAATAATTAACAAGACCATGTATCTTAAAGATCAATTTTATGGTATAATATGAACTATAAAATCGCAAAAAAATATGTTTATCTAATTTGCTCCTTGGATAATTCAATATTTGATTAATTTAGTATATGGAAGAAAATTTTCTTTAAGATTGATTTAATGAATCATTCAATTGTATGTAACTTGATATATCGAATTATTGATAAATTCTATCATAATATAAATATACCCTCTTTGTTTCAAAAAGAAAGATTTGATTCAAGGAAAAAAGATTCAGGCTTTGTTATTCTCATATACTAATTTCCTATGTAGTTATATGATTGAACTACTCTCACTTTACATATATTAGATACAATAGGGTCAACAGCAAACAGCAAAATGCTCAGCATCCAAATTAGCTAAAAGTTGCGCTAAATCTCGCATTCTTAAATAAAACATGGCAATGATTCCAAGCTTGTTTGGCAACCAGCATTTTCGATCCCTTCTCTCTTGATGTTTGGGACACTTTCAAGAACTTCACATTCCCTCAAGAAACTTAAGCTTTTGTTAACACCAATGTGTACTGGAAGGAAACCCCAGAAGCACAAGTCTTCAAGGCGGATCTTCCAGGGTTGAAGAAAGAGGAAGTGAGAGTGGAGATTGAAGATAACAGGGTGGGTGCTTAGGATAAACTGGAGAAAGGAAGACAGGAATTAGACGAGACAAGTTCTTCAGGAGGTTCAGATTGCCGGATCATGTGAAGATGGATCAGGTTAAGGCTCCTGTGGAAAATGGAGTTCTCACTGTTATCATTCCCAAGGAGGAAGGGAAGAGACTTGATGTTAAGGCTATTGAAATGAATCAATAGAATGATATCTTGATGTTATGGTTGCAGAATTCCTGTATAAAATAAATGGTGCAACGAGTTGATATAATGTAATGCCGGTCTAGTTGTAATAGTAAATTTTGACTTTAGTTTTACCTGATTTCATGTAGTTTTACCTGATTTCATGCTTCCGATTCTGATTAATAAAATGTTCATAGTAAGCTTGAGTCACAAATTTTCGTCTGAAAAATGTCAAGTGTTACAGACATAATTTTGGTTTTTGCAAACACCCCAACAAAATAACATTACAAAACACTCCCAATAACTGATAAAAAACTTCTCCCATCCTGCATCAACTCTTGTTTCTATTTTTGCTCCAAAACAAATCCATGTTCGTAGTAAGCCTGGTACTGGACACTCTCAAGTGCACTATCCATTGGTAGTTTCTTAAAATGTCACTGCACCCAATCATAAATGTTACTCTTCCAATTACCTATTAGTATTCAAGATTAATGCCACTGAATATTGTTGTCTTAACTACTGCAAGAATTTTGTGGTTGCTGCTGCCCTGCCAAGCAAAACCCCTGAGACTTCCTAAGCTGAAAAATCCTTTTTCGATGTCTACGGCCCTGTTTGTGTTGTTCCCATCATGTGCACCTCTAAGTACCTTGTCCCCCACAGACTATCAATAGACGTGACAAAGCACAACAATTTAAAGCTAATACCTTCATCTAATCAACATGTACACAAACAACAGCAAGGTGACGAAAGAAAAGAAACAGATAATATTGTATCATCTGAAAGCCTTGCGCACTTGCAAATGTATTGAGTCCACAAGTCCCTTTGGATCGTTTCCTTTGATGTGCTCTTTTGATCCCAGCTTAGGCACCTCTTTCCTTATCACCAAGAAAAGTTTTAATAATGTTCACAGCAGGTTCAACCACATCTGCTGCCCATGATCATCTGATTCACCTGGATACAGAAAAATGAATGTGATTAGAACCAGTACCTTTAAGATATATCTTTTCTTTGCAAAAACAAAACTGCTCTCATGGAATTGAAAAAAGATTGCCGAAGGCATACATGAGATGGCTTCCGTTGAATCAACATAGTGAATGTTCCATCCATACAATGTTTGAAGTCGATTAAGCCTCCTCTTCTGTAAAGGAATATTGTCTGTATTACTGAAGCTTTCAAGTTGTCATATTGCTTTCATTCTTATATAGTACGGAATTGATTAGAGCCATAGGAAACTCGATTCTTGATGTTCAGATTTTACCTCAACGAGAACTACCACTTAAAATGGCAAAGTTAAAAACATATTACATGGATCCTCCTTGTAGAGCAAACAGTTCAACATCAGGAAATACAATCTATTTGGAAATACCAGATAATTCTGTTTATCCTATTTGCCTTAATATTCAGAACATTGAACAAAAATTTTACAACTGATTTGGAAGATAAGGCATCAATGCATTAAGAGAAAAGGTGGGAAACCAAAAATCACTTTAGAATTTCAGAAGTAATTACAGAGTTCAACAATTAATCAAGGACTCTGTTTGATACAAAATATAGATAAAATATTTAGTAAACAATCTACTATAAATCAAACGGTTAGACAACTGTAATAATACTTGACAACGAACAAGTCTTCTAGTGTTTAACTTTACTTTGTCAATGGCTCCTTCAAGTAGTATTCTGAGTTGATGTTACCCGAGGATTTTAGTATTGCCATATAGCTCTTTCAGTGTCTCGTCATCAGTTTTTGTTGACAAAGGGTTAGAAATGCATCAGTAGATTCAGTTTCCCATTGTTCTTTCTGTAGAAAGGTGAATTCTCAGAAAATCTCAAACTCCCGAACACCAATGGCTGCCGCAAACCCTAGTATAATCAACATTCACATTGTAAATGTCATACACCTCATCTAGCAATCCAGCATCTATCAGCAGTTACTCTTTGTTCTACGTATCTGTCGAGCACAGGGTAGCAGCATCAACCAATAAAGCAGCAATTGAATCTAGAATTATCCACTCGACCCCAGTTCTGCCCTGGCACATGCAATTTAAAAAATAAAAGCATAAAAGTCATATCATCTCTCTTTGTCAAAAAAGAATCAGCTTGATTTTGGCAGTCACAAAAGCTTCACGTCAAATTAACTGGCAAAACTATGCACACTCAGATCAGTAAGGGTGCAGGAGATGTTACAGAAACTTCTAGCTAAATAAATTGTGCTTCAAACATTACTGAGCATGGATGCACTATCCAATAAAGAAAATGCAAAACAACAAAAAGAGAGAGAGAGAGAGAGAGAGGAAAGGCAATAGAGAAAGAAGGGAGAAAATAAAAGTGATGGAAACTTTCTTATAGAGAGTAAGGTGTAGAAATCGAGTGAAACAGAAAAATTACTTAATAATCATGACACACCACACATAAAAAAGCCTAAAGGCCCTAAAAAAAGTTCTAAAGTAAAAATCATTACAAGAAGATTGCTACTAAACATTATGTTTGTATTCCCAGCCATTGTGTAACAGCTTCAGAATTAACATCTAAAGCAAGTAGATGGTACAAATTTATGGCGACAAAAAACATAATAACATAGATAGGAATTAAAAAGGAACCAACCTTTGCAGCCTTTCCTTGAAAAAGTTTACTAGGCAGAACACCGGAGCGAGCATACAAACTGAGGTTGATTAATCTGCAAAAATATCAACAAAATCTAAATATACCAG